TGAAGTAAGTCACATGGCGGCCGCAGAAGAAGTAGAAGAGAGAGGATATTCAAACTATACGCCGAAGACAAAGATGTCGCTCCGGTTTTAGATCACAGTCTTCTTCAATTGCCTAAAGACCCTCATTGCATTGTTTGCCAACAAGCAAAGCAAGATTCAGCGCCGGCAAAAAGTTTGGAGGCCCTCATCTGACAGACAGAGAAACCGCGACCACTTTCGGTGATTGAATTCATGCAGACCATGTCATCGTTGCCAACGGTAAACTAGAACGCGATAAGTTCGATGTCAAAGGAGAGAGAGTCGCTTGGATCCTGCGAGATGATCGCGCAAAACTCGTCGCAGCTTACCCAGTTTCAAAGCGAAAGCGCCGAAGAAAAAGTCAAGGCATTGCACCACTTCCTTGGGAAAAGGGTTGCAGTTGAATTGCGCTGCGATAACGCGCCTGAGTTGGACAACGCAGCAAGCCAGCTTGGTCTCGTACACACTTCCACGGCGCCTTACCGCAAGACAGCTGTAATAAACCAAAAGATTCGTACCTTGGAAGACTCTAGAAGGTGTTCAATAGTGCAAGCAGGCAGGGTGCAACAGTTGTGGCCTCTTGCCATCCAGTATGTGAGCAATGCTATGTGTTGTCAGCATTGGACAGTCCTTCATGACGAAGGGTTGTTTGGGGAAGATCTTTCGTTCGCATGTCTTGTGCATTTCAGGCCAAACGAAAGGGAATCCAAACTAGGCCCAAAAACATCACCAGGATTGTTCACGGGGTGGAGGTTCGAACCCGGTTTTTGCTTCAAAGGGGTGTGCAAAGTTGCTCCGCTAGAGAATCTCAATTGCAGCAGACGTGTAGTTGGAAAAGGTAGATCCGCTAGAGGAACTGCTAGACATCGAAGGCTCTGTAATGAAAGTTGACACCCCTTCAATTCCAAAAGAGGAAAAGAAGAGAAGCATCACTCTTGAGAGGTTCATCAAGTTTCGGCCTGCTGCTGGCTGCAAAGCTTGCGAAGAAGGGGTGACCGTCCGAACAGTTCTTGCAAGGGTTTGATGCCTTGATCAAGGAGTCCATGCACCCGTTCCCTAGCGACGCGCCAAAGGGTTTTGACCAATGGAGGCTAGAAGAAGATGGCGCACTTGTTAGGTACCACTTCGTGAAAAGGAAAAAGCTGTTCAACCCGCTAAAGCGCGATAGAGACCCACCGGCCAAGCTTAGTGACTTCACCAAGAGGATTACGTTCGCTACGAAGGAAGATGGAACCAAGCTCGATCCAGTTGAACATGATGACTGGACTGACACAGGTGAATGGAAGGACTTTTGGACCGGGAAGATTGTGTTCTATCCCAAAGAGTGCGCGCTGCAGCAGTAAAGGCCGAGCCAAGCTCAGACTCTTGGGAAGAGTCCAAGCTTGCAAAACGAGAAGAGTCCAAGGCCTTGCAAAGGATTTTCTTCCAGGCAGCAGAAGTATATAGTGACTAGAAGAGGTGGAAGAGTCCAGTTTGAGTGGCCAGCGTCGTGCTCAGGTTAGGAATTACCAGAACTCTGGAAGTTTCCCAGCCATCCTTTGTTTATTCTCGTGAAATGTAGTGCTTTGGTTCAGAGCTCCAAACCATGGCAGATCGTAAACTTGTCTCCATCCCTAGCCATTGATCCAAAGCATTCACGTGTCCACGTAGCTGGAAAATACACTGAGCCTTCTGGCCTTCACCCAGCAGCCTTTTGTGAGTGTGTTGTAGCTCAGCTGTTCCCAGACAGAGTGTGCAACAACGCGCCAGCGATGTGAGCCAATTCAAGTTCAGCAATACCACCAAACGATTAAACGAGAGAGAGAGAGAGAGGAGAGCTTTCTTGAAAACGAAGTTCCACACTTCATCCATGAGGACAGGAAGCAATGGGCTTCCATTCCAACTGCGCATCCACTGAGATTCAAAAGGAAGCCAATGGTTTGATCGCTGCAGGAACTTGGAACTACGAAGAAGTCGTTCCAAGAAGGGAGCTGGAAAGAATGGCTCTTCAGAAGGGGGAGAAGAATCAATATCGGGCTGTTGTCATGGAAGCACGCAGAAGATCCTCTGCTAAAAAAAGAAAAGCAAGGACTGTATTCCGCGGTGATTCCGTAAAGGATGAATTAGGACAACGCGCAATATTCCAAGACATCAAGGTAACACCGACTGCGAGATATATCTGGAGTAAACGCACATGTCCTGTACGGATGTCTCGAAGGGAACACAACAACACAAAGTGACGTTGTCAAAGCTTATGCCCAGTCGGATTTAGGTTCCAAATTTCCTACTTACGTGCAACTGCTTGCCGTGCGTAAGGCTTTACAAAAGTCTCTATGGACACCCAGAGTCAGGGGGGGCGCTGGCGCAAGAAGTTTGCCGGCGTTATCCAAGAACGACTAGGACGCGAGTCAGCATCCTTTCCTTCAAATTTTTGGATAGAAAGTAGCAGGCTACTTGTCGCATTGTACGTTGATGACTTCCTGCTGAGCGGACCCACAAAAGAGCGCCAAAAGTTTTGGCAAGTTTTGCAGTCAAAGCTAGATATCGAAGAACCCTCTCCAATCGACAAAGTCTTAGGCAGGAAGCGCGTCGTCAAAAGGGAGGGAAACAGTCTTGTGTATCTTCGCGCCTCGAATTTTGTCCTTGCAAATTAAAGTCAGTTGCCACGCTGCTTTTGGATGATTCGACTTTGCCAATAGACGGCTGGGATGTTAAGGGTTCAGTTCAACCTGTAGCCGCAAAGATCTTCATGAAATGTCTATGGATAGGACAGCTGCGCAGAGCAGATCTGAACGACGACAGGAGACTCCACCGTTTGCTTTGCTACATTGACTCCACGAAGCAATATAGAATGCGAAACCAAGTAACCGGTTCGGACAAAGGTATCGACATCTTCTGCTTCACTGATAGCGATCACGCAGGTAAAGTCGAACGTGGGTATTCAACAATTAACAGGGAGATTTGTCGCTGCAATGGGCAAAGGAACACTCTTCCCAAGTACATGGCGCGCAAAGAAATCAGGAGCTGCAAGTAGGAGTACAACAGAGGCCGAGACAATCAGTTTATCTCATTTATTGTTTTCCGAGGCTTTGCCACTCCAAGAGCTGATGACATTGCCGTGTCAGCAAGATATCACCGCAACCATTCAAGTTATCCGGAATGGCTGTAGCTCTCGCTTGAGGCGCATTTCCAAAACGCGCAAAATAGATCTAACCGGTCTTTTTGACGCGTTCAGGTCAGGAAATGTGATTCTTGAGTACTGCTCTACAGAACAGCAGGCAGCAGACTTGTTCACCAAGTGTTTGGACGCCGTGAAGTTTCGCAGAGCTTTAGATATGGTAGGCGAAGGAGAGCCTCTACTCTAGTTCGTTTGCAGCGTGCAATGACAATGCCGGAGTGCTGCGCTTGTAGATGGCGTTGTGTAACTCCAAGGCAGCCAAGTGAAATTGAAACCAACTGTTGCCTTCGCAGTGAGCGCGCGATGATCAGTTCATCGTATGTAGGCCATATTGTTTTTCTGTTTGCAGGTCTGTTGCATGCTGAGTTCATTTTGCTTAGAGGGCATTATTTGTAACTCATCGGGGAATAAAGTCCAACCTGGCTGTCCAAGACAGCAGGCGCCCACTCGAGACTAAGCCAAACTCTAGAAAAGCAGAAAAGCAAATTGTACTTTTGTCAAAGCTTGAGCTTGGGAGTAAGTGCGCAACTTTTTCGCTTATATACAGGACGTTACTCCACTGAGGGGGGGAAGAAAAACCAGGAGTCGCAGCACATGTACAGCATACACCAGGTTTCCTTCGAACGGTTGCGTATCGTCATTCAGCTTTGGACCATGGATCAATTTTGGCTCAATGAGAAAAGGAGCGCCGGTCCGAACTCAGCTGGTTGAGTGTTTTGTTTGGAAGTTGTAGTGTGTCTACTTTTCCACAGGATAGCTCGTTGCTACACTTCCTTTGGACATATGAGTTGAAGACTCTGTGTGAATTAGACGCTCTCTGTGAACAGAGCACTCAAAGGGCAATGGCAATTCCCAAAGTTAATTTTCGCAACTACTTCATCAATACTAATACTATGAGCGCCTCCCTAATTGGTACAGTACGCAGCACGCAGTCTGGGTACCTTCCTTCTATATTTAACGTTTCACCAAGCACGACCCGGTGACAACCCCCGGTTTACAATATTCTGTAAGTTAATTAATTTCCCCTTTGCGCGCAGCGTATTGAATCACACAGTAGGTGCAGGGCCGACGGCCACTACAGGCTTCGCCAAAAGTGGATTTGACAGTGAAAAAAGAGATTCAACAAACATCGTCATGATAACTGATGTTGTTTAGACCCCTGGGGCAAGTCATTTTGTGTAAATGTTTGTTTCCCCAATCTCCCTCAAATAAAGGCACCTTTATCTTAACAAAATGGCGTTCCATACCCGGACAAGGGTGGCCAAAAGTGTGGCGCTTGAAGGCACTCATCAGGATACTGGCGGAACATGCGTTCGCAAGACAAAAACTCTGAAACAACAGCTCGACTTGTAAGACGCCCATGGCCTCTGCCGCTTTTGCCAGTGCAATTGTTACGTGTCTCTTTCTTCGGGTCCGAAGATACTGGTCTACAGGTCGCAGTGTTGTGGGCCATATCCGTTTTTGGGTTCTCTTGCCCGTGCTGTGTTTTCTTTCGGATTTGCTGAGGCTGTGTGTGCAAGATGATTTGGTTGTAACGGGTGATTTCGCTGCGGAAATCGATTTGATAACACGGTGACTCAGCTTGAAACCGAGATCTTGAACATGATGTCCACATCCTGGATTGCGAGACGTCCAAAAACTGTTTCAGCATGGACGCTTTTCGTTTCGGAATCAGGCGCTTGCCAACCTGTCATTACGAGCGGCAGAAAGCATCCAGCATTGGTCTTCGACTCAAACCTATGAGCTTGGAGGAGCCAGACAGGGAAATGGCGGTGTCAATTGCATATGAGATGGAAAACAAATAGAAGGATCGGATAACCCCACATGTTAAGCTTGACAGAACTAGCAACGAGAAGCAGAGACTGAGAAGAAAAGAGGACGGAAAGATACTGGACAATAAAAGTGAATGAGATGAGTGACGTGTGAGGTGTGTGATGAGTGGTAGTAATGAGAAGTAGAGACTGATCAGAAAAGATGACAGCAAGATACGACGCGATAAAGGTGAACGAACGAGACAGTGAGGTGAAAGAAGAAGTAGTGCATGATTGAGAGAATGAGTGAGGGAACGAGAGAGACAGAGTGTGCGGGTGTAGCTTGTGTTGCGTGTCCTTTTAATATGAGGTTTTGCAGAAGACGTCCAGCGCACCAGTTCTTTTTGCACTGCAGAGGTAGCGCAAGTGTCAAGTCCACTCCACGTAGTGCAGAGTGCCTGGCGCAGGCGATGGAAGATTGAAAGAGAAAAACCAGCCAGCGCCAGCGCCCGGCACCAGCGCCCAATCCACGCGCGCAACGAGCGCCAGCAACCCGACGCCGCCCTGTGCGCGCAGCCAGCACCGGCGCGCCAGCTCACAGCGCCGCGCGCGCGCAGTGAGCGGCCTGCGCCCTGTTTCCACCACGCGCGCAGCCAGCTGACAGCGCCCAGCGCGAGCGCCCAGCGCCCGCGCCCTGTTTGCACCACGCGCGCAGCCAGCTCACAGTCCACCACGCGCGCCCAGCGCCCAGCAAACGGCGCCCAGCACTGGCACCCTTTCTCCACCACGCGCGCAGCAGGGAATAACAAGGTATGATCTTGCGCGAAAAAGTTCACGCGCGCAAAAGTATGCGCGCAAACAGCAAAGCCCGTAAGTGTCATTGGCCCAAGGCCAAGCAGTATCCAGCGCCACTGTTGATTTTGTAGCATGCTTGAAGCAACGATCTGTAGAACCATAAGGCCAATATGATCTTGCGCGTGCAAGTTTATGCGCGTAAAAGTATGCGCGCAAACGGCAACGCCCAATGGTCGGTTGAGAGCCTGACGTTGCGCCTACAACATTATACGTACACAAGTATGCGCGCAAACAGTACAGCCCTTGACACACCTGTCGGCCAAAACAGAGCCTGAAGAGGGTAAATACCACACAGCGCTAATAGACAAAGAACGCTCAAGCGACAACACCGTATGATGTTGCGCGCATACAGCCAGCTCACAGCACCAGCACCGGCGCCGGCGCCCAGCACCCACCCAGCACCGGCGCCATGTCTCCACCACGTGCGCAGCCAGCTCACAGCACGCGCCCGGCGCGCAGCACCGGCGCCCTGTCGCCACCACGTGCGCAGCAAGCTCGCAGCACCGGCGCCCAGCGCCCTGTCTGCGCCACGCGCGCAGCCAGCTCACACCCGGCGCCAGCGCCAGCAACCTGTCTCGAAAGCGCGCGCGGGCAACTCATTGTTATTTGAAGTAAGAACCCCATAGCTTCGCTATCTGGGAAAAAACTATTAAACTAAATCCGAGCCCCGGGCCATGGTGCCGCGCGCCAGCGACTTGAAGCGCGCCAGCGACTTGAATCCTGGCGCGAAGAGCGCGGTCGCGCTGTTGCGCGGGCATGGCTCTTCTAAGTGTTCAAAGGGACCCTTTCGGCGCTGTCCAATACAACGTCGTATCCGCAATTTTACGGTGTCTCTGTGTCTGTTCTATTTGTATATACACATGCGTGTCTCTGTGTCTCTTCTGCGTGTCCGTGTGTCTATTCTGTGTATCTAAATCTACACGGCAGGCAGCCGCAGGCCAGCGGCGGACTGCTGGTCCGGGAGGCTCTGTGTATTGCGCCTGCCACGAACTCTGCACTCCAGGTTCACCAAGCGCTGTGCCTGCCACGAAATCTACACGACAGGTAGCCCCGGGCCAGCGGCGACCACGCGCGCCGCAGCTGGTCCGGGAGGCTCTGTGTACTGCGCCTGCCACGAAATCTGCGCTCCAGGTTCACCAAGCTGCTGCGCCTGCCACGAAACCTACACGGCAGCCAGCCGCGGGCCAGCGGCGACCACGCACGCCGGAAATCTGCACTCCAGGTTCACCAAGCGCTGTGCCTGCCACGAAATCTACACGACCGGCAGCCGCGGGCCAGCGGCGACGCGCGGCCGTATAGCTGATCCAGGAGGCTCAAGTGCTTGCGCCTGCCACGAAATCTGCGCTCAGCCTTGAGTGGTGTAAGATGAGTGGTGCAAGATGGGTGGTGTAAGATAGGTGGTGTGAGTTGTAAGCTGAGTGGTGTAAGATGAGTGGTGTAAGATGGGTGGTGTGAGATAGGTGGTGTAAGATAGGTGGTGTGAGTTGAGTGGTGTCAGATGAGTGGTGTAAGATGAGTGGTGTGAGATAGGTGGCATAAGATAGGTGGTGAGTGGTGTAAGATGAGCGATGTAAGATGGGTGGTGTGAGATAGGTGGTGTAAGATAGGTGGTGTGAGTTGAGTGGTGTAAGATGAGTGGTGTAAGATGAGTGGTGGGAGATAGGTGGTGTAAGATATAGGTGGTGTGAGTTGAGTGGTGTAAG